AAAAAAAGAATTGTGGCATGCAAAAAGAAAGAGAACAAAACTGAATTAACATGTTTTTCTACTGGTCCTCAACCAATCAAATCTCAGTTATAAAAGAAAAACTGTGGGGAAATTCTTCCTGTGATTTCTAGATGAAGTGTAAGCATTGTGCTACCCTCAAGGCCAAACAGGATTGAGGGAAGGTGGCCTCAATTAAACCAGCTGTCTAATCACAGAGCTTGAAATCCTTTTCCTGTCTGCAGCAGCAGAATCTGGAAGAAGAGAAGTTACACAGTTGCCCAGCATGGATGCCTCTTTGCTGTCTCAGCCTGGATGCCTGTGGCAGCAGTTGCAGTAGGAACAGCCCACCTGGAAGTCTTCCTGTCAGCATCATTGGAACCTGGGAACCCACAATTTCCTGCTCTTCACCAAGTTCTGGATTTCCAGTAAGCATTGTTAGACTTACTTGATGTGGGTGATTTACTGTAATCTGAAAGAGCAGTGGAGGAGGAAAGAGAAACTGAAAACTTCCATGTGCTTGGTGTCAAATGGTATCTGAGGGACTTAACATGTGACATAGATTGTAGATCTCCATCTAAGAAAGACGATGAAACATCTATACATTGTTAGTAACATCTTAGACAACATCAGTGCTCTAGAAGCAAGGAAGTTCCATGCACAGAGTGAAACATGATCAAGCATGCCCCACCCCACTGTAATAGTGCAACTGCCCATCATAAAGGACGAGGGCACCATCAGTGTTGTGCCACAATACACACATGCTTGTTCACACACTATACTCCCATATATGTGCCCACATTCATACATTTAAAAACGTGTGTGTATACACCTTTGCATGTACACACACACACACACACACACACACACACACATACATGCACACACACACACTAACACAAAATTATACTTTGAAATTAAATTAGATGTACAATAAATTGGCATAACAAGAAATTAAAAAGAAACAAACAACCTTTGTATCATTGGTATGCATGTTGTATGCAGAACTATAAGTATTATTAGTTGCATATTTTATAAGTATCTATATGATATACCTAATATGTACAACCATATCTAACTGCATATACATGTGTATATAAATATAAAGATAAACTGAAATCCCAACTCCCAGACACCAGCCAAGGAGGCAGCAGAACTTTCCAAGTGGCCGGCTTGATGTGTTTGCTCTTTCCTGCCTTCAACTCTGAGTGCCTGTTATGTTTATTAACAGTATCATTTATTTGAAACAAAATTCCACACATATTTTTCACAATGCACTTTAATATTAAATATTCTCTACCTTTCAGAACCACAAGAAAACACTTGAAGGCAGAAAGCAGCGAGTTGTCATGAAAAGTACCAGGGAAGGGCCAATGAGATGAGTAGCTGGGTGGAAGGAAAGAGCTGACTCCTCCTAATTTGTTCATTGACCTCCATATGAGCAGAAGGACAAAATGGCATGGTGTGTATTGTATGCTCATTCTCTCTCTACCATATGTATGCATTTATTTCCTCATCTCTAAATAGTAAATACATGTTATTATTTTAAATACCAATCAGAAGATTTCTATACACTCATCATATGAAATACTTAATTTTTAAAAGAACAAAAAAGTCTCACGCAGCTCACAACTGTTTGTAACTCCAGCACCAGAGTAGTTGACACCCTCCCACAGGCATACATGAAGGCAAAACACTAATGTACATAAAATAATGAATAAACAATTAAATATTTGTAGGAGCTAGTGGGGTCAGGAGCCCCACAAGCATCCCACAGAACTAACTAACCAAGGCTCATAGTGACTCAGAGACTGAACCATCAACCAGGGAGCATGCATAGGACTGACCTAGACTCTCTGCATATATTTTTCAGTTGTATAACTTGATCTTCTTGTGAGACTCCTAACAATGGGAGCAGGGCTTGTCTCTAATGCCTGCTTTTGGGACCCATTCTTCCTACTGAATTGCTGCATCCAGCCTTAATAGAAGAGGTCATGCCTAGTCTCACCACAACTTGATATAACATGGCAGGCAGATATGGACAGGATGCCTAATCATTTTTGAAGAGAAAAAAGAGAAGGAGGAATGGATGGGGAGCAGAAAGAGTGGAGGTGGGGGGAGGGACTGAGAGGACAGGACAGAGGGGAAATTTTGGTTAGGAAGTAAAAACTAAGATAAACAAATAAATAAAACCAAATTTATTACAAAAAAGGGAGAATATTGATGGTTACGATATTTCAATTTGAGATACTAAAAGAATGTCCCTCCAGGGACATTGCCACTTATTCTAACTTTATAATGTGTTTGCAGTTGTACAGGGATTGCTGGGGATGTCTTTCTGTATGCTGTGAATGTGTTGCTCTGAGTGATTGATAAACACTGATTGGACAGTAGCCAGGCAGGAAGTATAGTATAGGCAGGATAAGCAGAGAGGAGAATGCTGGGAGTGGAAGGCTGAGTTAGAAGATGTGTGCCACCGCCACTATGAGAAGTAAGACGTAAAGTGCCAGTGAGCAACAATCCACGTGACAACTTACAGATTAATAGAAATGGGATAATTTCAGATATAAGAACTAGATAGTAAGAAGCCTGCCATGGCCACACTTTATAAGTAATATAAGTCTCTGTGTGTTTACTTGGGTCTGAGCGGATGCAGGAGCTGGGTGGACACAGGAAAACTCCAACTACAAGGGATGATTAAATCATGTTAGGCATAATTTTGAGCTGGTCTAATACATAATGTCTTTGTGTTGTACTTTGAATAATTATATCATGTTTAGGCAATATTAAAACCTGGTTATTATTTTACATGTGGAAATTAATCATGACATAAAAAGATATAATTGTTTGTCAAGTTGTCAAGGGTGCAGTTGTGATAGCTATTTTTGTTTGTCAAATTTATTACATCTGGAATTCACTACAACCCAAAATAGAGGGGCATGCCTGTAAGGTATTTTTGCTTAATTTGAAGAGAGAAGATCCACATGTAGTCCTGATCTTTGCATTAGGAAGACATTCCTTTAATCTGGATATTGATGAGGAAAGAAACAACTATAACTCAGATGTATTGATTCCCAAAACCACACCTGTAATCTCAGCCAGGCCTTGTGCTGGAAGCCCATATAAAGAAATGGAAGAAGGGGGCTTTTGCTCTTTAGCTGCTTGCTCTCACCTTGCTAGCAAGCCCATTCCTTCACTGGCATTGGAGCCACCTGCTTTGGGATTGCAGACTATACTGCTGATGCACTGAGACATCAAGCATAGTGGACTGAGCAACTCCTGGTTTTAAGGACTTTGCCATTATAGCCAGCCAATGTTCAATTAGCTGGACCACAGCCTCTAAGTCATTCTAAAATATAGCCTTTTGTATATATAGAAATTCATTCTGTAAGATGTTGCCCCATAAAACCCTGACCAATGCACCAGACAGATATAGAACTTTTAGAGTAGTTTGGGCCTGACAACAGCCTTATCTCCGTTCTAAATTCCACATGGTCACATTCCCTTAGCCTGCTTTTTAGATGATGCTTTGATGCTGGCCTACTAGGTTTCTGGGCAAGAAAGTAAAATAACACAAGTCTGAAATGTCTCAAATGGAACACAATAATCTAATTAAACAAGTAATTATATGAGATGGAGAGATTCTAGCTTAAGTGAGGAATGAAAAACCAGATGTCTTAGCTTCTGTGGGCCAAGACCTGGCACAGCCCCACCACATGAAGACAGAGGACACGAGGTTCTTTTTACCCTTGATATGACAGCTCCAGTCTGGAGATCCACGGGATAACTTCCTTTACACATGAACTCTCTGCCTGTTTCTCAGTCTCAGGTGTCAGATCTATTCCAGAGTAGCTTCACAAGAATCAATCAGTCATCTGGAAGAACTTTCTCAATATAATCTGAGATCTACTGTGGTAAAAGATCAGCATCAATTACCTCTCTCCTTTTCAGTCTGTACAGAATCACTCTGCACCAGAGACATATGGCCCCTGATGCAGGCTCCATCCACTCCACGTAGTCATGAGGTTCCTCCCAACATTGCTTATCTGGACCATCAATAGGGATTCCTCACCCCACCTCCATCCCAGGACAGTCTTCTCAATTCTGCATTTCATCACACAGTCTTAATACGTGTTGTCAACCTAGAAGAGATCTAGCAAATCTGTGCCAGTCTGACAGTGAGTGATACTGGGGCAGGGTCTTGAACCTATGAGAGCACTGCATGGATGTGTGGCAGCCTAAGACAATTAGCATGCCTGTCCCAACAGGTTTCAAGAAACTTCAGTCTTTGGTTGGGAGTGATCCAATCCACCTAAGACAGCACACATGGCTGGAAGGACAAGGTCAGTTGCAGGGACTGGAGAGATGGCTCATCCATGAAGAGCACTCATTGCTGTCTTAGAAGATCCACAGGACAGCTAACAAACCTCTGTAACTTAAATTCCAGGTGGAATCTGCCCTCACCTGGCCTCTGTGGGAATTGCATGTACATGATGGCTAAACACCCTTAAGTATAAAGAAAAGCACCACAAAATATCCCAACATGTCTTGCAGGAAATTATCTCTTCTTCTTGGTTATCATTCATGTTATATTTCAAGAAAACCAGAGGCAGATTGCTTTTCATTTCCTTATTTCTTTTATACAATATTAATGAATGTGCTTATTTCCTAAGAGGCCTGGAGCAATGTGCATGTGTTTTATTTTAAGTTGGTCTACATGATGATTATTTGAATATGTGTGTACAGTGTAGCACATTTTGATGGCAGCAAAAATATATGACATTAAGGATACAAAATGTCTAGTTTTTCTATTATGTAGCGGGTATCCATGGAGTAGGCTATTCCATCCTCATACAAGCTGTCATCCTCCTGTGTAGCCCTGAGACCCATGGATGGGAAATCCTTAGGCAGCCAAAGCTTCTTGAAACTTACTGAGATAAATCCAGGCCTGTGAGTTCTGGGATTACAGAGTGTGAAACTTCATCTGAATAAAGAAGAGTCTCAGACTGAAATTTGAAATTGGATTTTATTCATAAAAATATATTCATTTTACTCAATGGAGGCATTCCAAACAGCATTCCTTATATACAATGTATAGCCTTAGCAAACTTTTAAAATAGTGACAAGAATAAAAGAAATAACAACAATTAACAAAACCTTAAACCAAAATGAAGAAAACCAAAATCCAAAGCATAAATATCCCAACATATAACAAGAAAATTAAGCAAATTTCAGGATCCTTTGGAATTTCATTATGGAAGAGCAAATGAGGTGAGGAACTGTCTTATTCTCTGCAGTGAATGATCTTCAGCAACACTTGCACATGACATGGCGTCAACTTCAGCACTGCACTAGAGAGAATCTTATGCTTTGGTGTGGTCTGTCTGGATGGCAGTGTGATGTTAACACAGTCTTCCTTTTCAGATTTCCATCACATATGGAATCAGCTTGTCAAAGCCCTTGATAGTAAGTTGACAGAAGAACTCTTGCTCACCCACCTGTCCTCTCCATGTTGTTTTGCCCCTCACTGGGGCCACATGCTGATGGATGTCAGGGGTCTTAGTAATTTGTGATATGTCCTCTGAATCTCAGGCTATTTCTGATACAATCTTTTGTCTGGGAATAGTGAGTCAATGCATGTAGATCAGATTGTGGCTGGATTGCCTGATGGTAGGTTGATATTTGCCTCACTAGTGAGTTCACAGCTTAAAAGAGGTGGTATTTTCTGAGGAGGCCGTGAACCTGGAATGTAGAATGTCATGCCTTCAAGGTGTCTCTGGCTTCTTCCAGCCTTCTCAGTTTTCTTAAGAGGTGTTGTCAGGCAAAATTGGTAAAGAAAATAGGATTTAGAAACAGTTTTGCTGTGCCACTGGCAAGAAAAATCAGAGCCTATTCATCTCTAGTAAACAAAAGTTAAGGAAGGAAACACACCCCATGAACACCCTGGCTGCTGGGGATGGGACTCAATGGTGGCTTACTTGCCTGGAACATAGTGTTTCTGCCCCAGCAGCTCCATCTGCAGGAGGCTCTCTCCCTGGGCTGTGGTCTGCTCCAGTTCCTGCTGGAGGTTTTCAAACCTAGGGGAGAAAGGCAGCTGGGGCACAAGCCTGGTGGGACCAGCCATGTCAGCTTTTGAGCCCCCACCAGCTCTACTCAGCTAGACAATCAAGCATTACCTTTCACCTGAGTTCATTCCCTGCTTCCCTAATGGAAAAGGGTCAGAGAGCACCTGGGCAGGATTTTTTTCTCAGCTTTTAAAAACTGCTAGAAGTTGGACTGGTAAGTACATACTGTGCTGGATTAGAAAAAAACAGCACATTTCTCCAAAGACATCATTTTGGAGAAATATCAGTATGTCAAGGTCTGAGGCACAGTTCAGGAAAGATATCCCTGGCCTTGATTAGATACCAGGTGAATGGGAACCTCCTGGAAAACTCTATGCCTGCCCTCTAGTGGAGCCTACACAGCAATGCAGAGAAGGCTCTGGTTATTCCTATAGCTCAGAACCCTGCATGGGATTAACTTGTGAGCTCCTACTCTGTTTATGACCAGAGTAAATCTTCTCACGAGAAACTGATAAACACTGCAGAGAGCCTGCAGTCAGCAGGAGTGTGCTATATGCAAATCTGCAAAGGGTGGACACTTCTCTCTAAACGTGAATTTCCTGATGGAAAAGATGCAGGAGGACACACTTTCCTTCATGACCAATGAACCTCCTTTCCAGGTTTCTGGTTGCCATGGGAATATTTTTGGGGAGATCTAATCTAAGAGATGAGATACTCAGAGCATACTAGAGGTCTCAGAATGGAAAAAGGGGACACAGTCCTCATGAGACCAAGGAGAAGCATATTGTTTCCTGGTCATAATTCCTGTTGACTGAGCCAGCAAGGACACTCGGAGGGGTTCTTTCCCTGCCTGTGGCTGGCAGCTTTGCCAATTGGCAAAACTCAAAGAGGACGGGGATCCAGGTACAGTGGACCCACTTGGATCCACCTGCTTCTGGAAGCCTGGGCTCCTACCTCATCTGGGACACAGTGAAGTGATGCTGCAGCTTTACTGCCAAGTCCCTTTGCCGGGTGAGCAGCTCCTTCTGCTTCAGCAGGGACTGAAGATTTTCCTCAAGTCTTTGATGTTCCTGTTCATTAGAAGATTGTGTTTTTAGGGGAGGGCATCCTCATCATGTACATAAACATGCACACACACACACACACACACACACACACACACACACACACATTCTCTATCTATCTATCTATCTATCTATCTATCTATCTATCTATCTATCTATCTATCTCCAGCACACACATGTATGTGGATGCACACATACAAGCACACTAAATTCCATCCATGCTTAGTTTTCCAGATGACACTAATGTAAGAAGAGATTGCCTGGGATACCATGAAGAAGAAAGTTACCTTTCATTAACCTACATCCTCTCTACCCATATTCCAGCCTAGAGTCAGGAAACACAGCATGCTCTGAGCACAAGGATGTAGAGAAGATTGTGTACTTTTACTCTGTTTTGATCATTTTTCAGTTTATTTTTAGTTTATATGTGCAGGTGTTCAGCCTGCCTGTGTGTCTGTATAACACGTGCATGCTTGTTGATCTGGTACAGGAACTCAGTGGGCAGATAAGTCAATGCAGTGCTTGCCTTGAAATCCTGTACACACACAGGTGAACACCAGGGTTCCTTGATCCATAATCTAAGCTCTCCTAGCAAGTTCCCCAATCTGTGCATTGAAGGCTTAGTTCCCCAGCACAGGACCACTGGATGGCAGTGGACCAGCCCCTTGCTCTCACTCAGTGCTTCCCAGTGCTTCCAAGGAGGGCAGCTTCCTCTTAAAGAAGCTCTCTGTACCACAGGTTGCTTCCATTTAGGCCCAAAGGAATGAGCTCAGAAAACTAGAAAATCACTACAATCAGTAGTCTATATTAACCTTTCCTTCAAATAAGATGATTGTGTCAGAGATTTCTTTGAGTAACAGAATGTTGACTAACTTACGGCCAAATAATAGCATATATTATTCCAAACTTAACAATATCCATGGACCACATTGTATGTTTGTACTCATCAATCATGGGTATCTGAATAGTTGCTAGTTGGGCTGTTCTGATGAGTCCTGCTGAATCCCTTTTGTCCACTAATCTTTGTGGACACCACTTTCCATTCTGGAATCAATGCCCCACATGAAGACTGAAGTTTGACTTTCTGAATAATTGCACATAGTTTCTCACAGGGCTCCACCATTTTATACTACTAGCAATGTCTAAGTGTTCTCATTTCTCCCAACTCTCCATCAGGCTGAATTTAACTCAGTATGAAGAAGTTTGGAATAAAAGTAGTTTCTGAGTGCTGCAGACACAACATGGAGTGGGTGCTTTAGAGTATGAGGAGCCTAAGCAGTGCCTTGAGACAGCCTCTCCTCACACCTCAGCATAGCTGTGGGACTTCTGCTGGGCTGGGATGCAGCAAAAAGCACCTCTGCAGTTCAGAATTTCTCTGAGAAAAAAGTCCAGGTCAAGCACCTAGGGCCAGGTGAGCTAACCAAGGTTAGGCAGAGGTGAAAGGAAAATGGCAGCAGGCGATGGGGAGAAAAACAAAACAGGATGCAGGGAAGTCATCAGTGGTCAGCCTCCTTTCACCCAGAGCAGAGAAGGACACAAACCCTCAGGCAGCCTTTCCTGCCTCTCAGTAGCCTCTTTCTCACTGTCATGGACTCCATTACTTTGTTTTTCTCCAGAGGATTTCTTTGCAGAGAAATTATTCTGCCTATACAAATACCTGAAAAACATTTAGCTTCCATCAGTTTTGTGGCCTTGCATGTGTAGTTAGCTGTGTGGACATGCAGAGTGATGGGCAGCTCCATCTGTCCTTTGACTTAGGCAAAGTGGTACTAACCAGATTAGGCACAGTACTTTCTCATTGAAATCCATCTCCATCCTTCTTAAAGATGTTCCATTGTTCAGTGAGAGAGTGAACATACACATAGAGGCTCAAACACACATTCTCAATGCCCAAACACACACATAAAAACAACACAAACACACACCTTTCTTGAATCCAGAAAGGCAAGGTAGAAGACTAGAATGTTGCAGCACCTTTTCTAATCCAGGGAAGGTAGTGGGTCCTCCCTGCAGTCTACAAGCCTTTTAGACTCAGACAAGCTCTTCTACCATGCCTGAACTAATTTCCCTTCCCAGGGAAGTTCTTATCACCAGACTCATTGACCATACAGAGAAGTAACAACCTCTGCACAAATGAGTTGGACCACACAAGACCAGGTGCTGGTGGAAAAGGGCAGAACATGAAGCCTCCTGATAGATTTAAGTTGACCCATTATAGTCTCCTCACTAAACTTACCCAGACTCCTTGACAGAAGACATTGACAGCACCAGAGAATGAAAGTCACCCATTGCCATTACCCAACAACTTCTGACCAGATTACAGTGCACATTATATGAAAACAGCCCCAGGTCAGTCAGTAGAAGGCTACTTAGGTCATCCACAGCACTTTTCTAAAATGCAACACTCCATCCAACTATGAGTTGGAATCTGTCCTTAGACACAGACACATACACGATAGAGTGAGCATCAAAATGTCAGGTTCCATGTTTTAAAGCCAGTAGACAAACCACACCTTTCCTTGGAAGTTACCTCTATGCCGTGAAAGAAAAGAAGTCTACTTTTTATTTTTACAGTAGCTCCATTGTTTGATTTTTGTTATTTATTACAAGACACATTAATTCCAAAGTAATAAAAATGTTTAAAAATTAAGAGAAACCAAGAAGTCAGTTCTCTTTCTGACCAAATGAACCATTTAGCAACGAGATGAGACAGAAAAACACAGGATGCTCTACTGTGAGGAGACAGGAGATCCAAAGATCTGTGGCTATCCAGCTTAGCCAGAACAGAATTTTTCAGGTTCAGTCAGTAACCCAGGCTGAAGGGAATAAGAGAGAAAGCAACAGAGGACACTCGATGTCAACATCAGACACTCCAAAACACCCACAGATGTATGTGCCCTCAGAATGGCATATTCACACACAGACAAACACCCCTCAAATCATCAGTGATCAGAACACAGTGAGAGGACATCACACTGGATGAGGATGACATTACCAGTTGGATTAATAGTCCTCACACTAGCTTTTATAAGTGAATCCCACAATTCTGCATCATTTTGGACTAAAAATGCCTGAGGAAGCATGCTGTGTTTCTGTAGGCTATGTTGATGCAGTTGGCTCAAATCTGCCACCCTGACCCCCAATTGTCATAAGCCCTTGCCACATCCCTGATCATCCAGTGAGCTTCTAAATGTAAGTTCCAGGATGGGATAACTGGCCAATGGCACTCACAGCAAACAATACTGACAAGCTGTTAATTTAGTTTCTGTCACTGTGAACCAAGAGTTGGCCAGGTAAAGAGAACACCATGACATTCTGGGAACCAGAGGGTAAAATGCCATATGACACCCAAAAAGATGTCTATGAGTCCCGGTCATTTGGCTTTTTCAGGGGGTGTTCCTCCTTCCATGCTGTGTATGCTCTGATCTCACATGACCCCTGCCAAGCAAATGAGACCCAGACCCTTGACCTGACTCACTCAGATCTCTGTGGCTCCATCATAGCATGGCTCCTCCCATACTGACATACAGGTGAGTGGTATGTGATTGACCCGTCTCCCATAATGGACTGCAGCTTCCAGGAGAGCAGTAGGGTTTCCTTGCTCTAAGAGGCTAACTCCCCAGAAAGACTTGTAAATGATCACAGAAGTGAACTATTGGATGGGATGGGTCAGTTGGATAAGTAAGTAGATGGTTACATGAGTGTGTGTATATGTGTGTGTATGGTCAGACTGGTGGCCAGGTTGGCCATGCTGCTTCAACCTACCTGCAGCTGCCATGTCCAGAGGTCATAGATCTTCTCATGGGCCTCTTCACAGAGCCTCTTTGCCTCCTCACAGGACTCTTGTAGTAAAATCTGCTCCCCCTGCAGCTTTTTCTTGTCCTCTAGCAACATTCTCACTTTTTCCTTCAGCTGAGTCTGTTCACTCAGGTGCTGACTGTAGAGGTGCTGAAATATCACCAAAAATGATGAGCTCTGCCTCCAACTGCCACTCCTGCCTCCTAATACCATGATTCCTACAAGGTCCTATGTTCCCTTCCACAACAGCCCTGGGCTGTTAGCTATGCCAGCATCACTCATGTGCAGGCCAAAGGCAGAGAATAGCCAAATTCCAGAAAGATTTACACTACTTCTGAAGACCCTGACAGCAAAAGGGATCCAGGTACCTCTGAAGACTCGATCTGCTGCCTCCCGCAAACACACACCCTGGTACTTAACTGTTCACAGTATTGGAAAACCATGAGGAGGTAGAGGGAAACCATGCCCTGAGGGAGACAGAAGACCCATCGGGAATACATTCCATCCATGTGTCCCATAGAAACCAGCTGTGTAATCTCATGCCTGCACCACAGAAACCATTCATGGTGCAAACTGTGTTTTCTGTCTAGAAATTCCAGAAGCTGACCGGAAAAAGTTGGAAGGGCCTCTCAGACTCTTCATACTTAGGAGAATTCAGTCTAGGAGGCACAAGTTCAACAGCTGTAAGGCAGGCTGCTTGCTAAGAGGTAAACTGACTAGAACCACAGCCCTCAATTTGGTTCAAAGGTGGAGAAGGGAAGAAGATGCTGTAGGATGTCTTTCTGTATGCCGTGAATATGTATTGCTCCCATTGCTTAAAAAATAAGCTGCTTTGGCCTATGGCACAGCAGGAAGGAGCCAGGCAGGAAAATCCAGGAGAGACAGAGAAGAAAGGAAGAGGTGGAGGAGATGCCAGCTGCCACCCAAGGAGCAAAATGCCAGCAGCCTGGCAATGTAGCAGCCATGTGGGAAAACACAGATGAATAGAATTGGGTTAATTTAAGATGATAGAGCTAGCTAGCCTGAAACTTAAGCCATTGGCCATACAGTTTGTAAGTAATGTGAGCTTCTGTGTGTTTATTTGGGACCATTTTGCTGCAGGAGGCAGGTGGGACACATTCTTCCTGACATCGGGGTTGGGCAGGACTGGAGAAACTTCGAACAACAAGAAGCAGTCCTTACCAAGTTCTGGAGTCCACCCAAGTCAGGCACTCACCTGTAGGTTTTGGTCTTCTCACTCAGCTCTGTGCACTTGTACAAGGCCTCACTAATTTCCTTGGGTAATTTCTTCACATCTGACATATCCTTCTTATGCTCTGTGTTCTGCATCTCATACTCTGAATTCAGTGTGTGGTAGGGCATAGCCCCAGGAACAAAGAACCCTGTGAATACAGGCCTCAGCGACCCCATGAATTAAGGTTGTATTTTTCACTACCCTAGCCTACTGGATGTCACACCCTGAATTCTATGTACTGGGAACTCCTGATGTGCATTAGACTTGCTACCCTGCCCCAGGGCCAGGAAAGGATGGGTGTCAACAGGGAGGGAGACAGGGCTCCATGAGCTCTCTTAGTAGGAATGGAGGAGTAGACTAGCTCTCCTAGCAGGTCCACCAGTGTGGGCCTACCGGAAATCTGCAATGACATTTCCACTGTCGTGAGAACAGAAATGCTTTGTCCTTACAAGGATAACCAGAACTCATTATCAGTATTGCCATGCATGAGGCACTCCATGAGGATGGCTTTATAAACTCCCAAGGGGATTCCAATGAGGCACCAGGGTGAGCACAAAAACTGAGAACAGGGATGCTCAAAGTGGAGCTTCCTGGTCTCAGCACTTACATCACCTGAAATCTTTGAAACAGGCAAATCCTCAGGCCTATTATCAATATCCAACTCACAAGATCTGAAGGGACACACACACACACACACACACACACACACACACACACACACACACACACACTTTAAGGGAGCCTCTCAGAGACAGTACAGAACACACTGAGACCAAATCCTGAGCACAAAGAGATACATTTCCCCAGCAGGGCAAGCATGGCATTGGGAGCCTGCCTCTGGATCAAGCAAAGGCAGACAACACGCAGCAGGCTTTTTACAGCAGTGGGATTTGAAATAGAAAGGTTAAGTCTGTGTTGGGGTGAGTTGCTGAGATTTGATTGGACAAGTTGGCAAGTGTAGCTGAATAATGAATTTTGATAGTTGAACTTTGGTGTTCAGTTTCAAGAATGAGTCAGTGTGCACAAAAGGGAATGAACTTTGGGGACTAAATTTAGGAATGTAATCTAATGGTTTATCAAGGGAGAGGGAAGTGAAAAGGCTAAAACCTGACACTGCCATGTTTGCGATGTTTGGGCACCTTAGAGGGCAATTCACATGCACACAAACCCACACACAGTTAGGATGTCAGAGAAATGCAGGTGGGTGGCATTGTCTCCCAGTACAAGGAACAAGACCAGAGAGGAGCAAGGATGGACACCAGGCCTTCCAGACACACACAGATGGATCAAGTAGGACAACCAGGCCTTTCAAGCTGCTCCCAGAGCAACAAGCAAAAATAAATATATTGTCAAATACAGAGACTCAGGTTAAACTCAGAGCACCCAGCATCTCCTACAAACCAACACCTGTCAAGGCCTTTTGAAATGCATGTTGTGATCTTACACCCTACTGCCCCTCTCTGTGGATTGTGATTCAGGTCACAGACTCTGGGTTTCATTAGGAGGAATCAGAACAGCCTGTGACCCATCTCACTCCTACAGGCTTCAGTCCTGCCTCTCAGATGCATTCAGAAAAATTTGTTTGTGCAGGTTGCCCTGTAGGTGCAGCTTCCAGTGACCCAAGGACTGCTGGAATTGACACAGTTGCGTCAAGACATTCACTAGAGAACAGGACATGATGAATACCTCTTGTTCAACTTATTGTTGTTGTAATGGGCCATGAATTCATGCAGTTCATTCCTGTCATTGGTCATCATCTGTAGCTGAAGTTTCAGTTTTTCCACCTGGTTCAGCTGCTGCTCCTGCTCAGTGAGGAAGAAGGGTGTGGATGATGCCTTCCTAGCAGCCCCTGTAGGTATATAAACACAAGTGAATTTCTACAGATGAATGGCATAAGCCAAGAAGATCATGTGGTGTCCCAAGAGGAGGCCGGCGGAAGAGGAAATGCATGGAACCCAGTGAAGCCCTCAAAGATCAGAGCAGTTATCCTTTAGCTGGGCCTCATAAGCCATGTGTCTGTCTCCAATCACTATGGCTAGATATATGCCTCAGCCCCTACTTCAGCCCCACTGGCCCTGAAAGACATAAGCAAAGCCAGCCATGTTGGTTTGGAATTGTCATCTCATACCTGATGTGATGCAAGAATGTCCAGGAGTCCCTAGTGCTTTTTACCTCCCAGCCCTCATAACCTGTGTCCATGACTAAAAGAAATTGAATGTCTCAGACCTGGGTACATGGATGGAAACTTTCCCTCCTTGGTATTTACATCAGATATAAAGGGCAACAACATCCCATTCTGATACCACATTAGTGGTTCTGGGCCTCCTGTTGCATTCTTTGCCTCCTGTTGCATTCTTTGCCACTCAGAATGAAATGAAGGAGGTCGAAGCACAGGAGCTGCAGCCTTGACCATTCCTGGCCCTCTGCCAACTAACCATCAGGAATCTTCCACCTTGGATCTGCTCATTAGGGACCCAGATAAGCAGCATAGGCCCATTGCTTCAGATGATCACAGCTTCTGAACCCCACGCTAGAAGGTCCAGTTCTAGCCTCACCTCCTTAGCAAACTAGGGCTCTCTCTGCCAATCAGTGTGCTCAGTCTTGACAACATATCAGTTGGTGAATCTATAAGCACTTAGTGAATGCCTCAAGGGTAGTTGGCATTGGCACAACACTGCTGATTTCACAGAAGATGCCAAGGGCTCTATAGGACACAATAGAATTTCCAGAGAATGGACTGTTAGGGACACTGCCAATGGTCATCACCTATCTGATAACAAGCTCTTCCCCAATTCACCAAAAGCCAACCAGCCCTTTCCTGGAGCCTTTCCTGAGACACAGTGGAAGGCCTTCTGCACCTCCTCCTTCCAATCCTGAGATCTCTCAGATTCATTAGAATCTAGTTCATTCTAATTCAGTAGTTCATCATGTGTGGAGAGCTAGGGTCATTTTTTCAAACACCGCCCAGGAATGGCTCCTCTCATCCTGATGATCGCCAGTTAAATGATGAGAAATTTAGGATGCTAAGAAATTAGCTCAGGATAATGGGGAAGGAAGATCTGTTCCATGAGGTGAACAAGCACATCAGAGAAGTTCCACGGGGCTGTTACATGTATGGGGGTGGTGGAGGATTATGTGGGTCCTGTCAGAAAAATGATATGCGACATAGGTAATGATGAAACTTTTGCCAGATGCTGCAGCAGAATACATTCCAGCCATCATGATGTTAGCAGAAGTGTTATCAAGTACTGATCGGTATGACTGAAAATACCTAAGAACTGGGCATCCCCAGGTGAGCCCTCAGTCACCAACAACAAATACTTACAAAAAGATTGATGTCCCAGTCCTGTACTCAAGGTAGAGGAAAGATGACTGGCTAGTGGGAGGGCAGGAATGAAAATCTTCAACACTGGGTTTGCCCTTGAAAAACTCAGAGGACTAGGATAGGCCCATCATTGCTTCTCATAAACTCTCCCTTCCAGAGCCCCACTCCTGAAAGGATCAGCTGAAGCTTTCCTCCTTCAGGAAGCTCCCCATCCCTTTCCCAGGACTCACCGTGCTTTCCCCAGAACCATTTATTTCTTGGTGTGTGACATGGTAACTGAAGACCATCTTCCTTCTGCCTCCCTCTGATCTCCCTGTGCTCGCCATCCTTTCTCCCAAGAATCCTGTTCAGTCTAGTCAGCATGTCTGTCAGTGAAACACGAGACACTGCACCAATGCCCCAATGACAGTTGGTGTTGCCACAACACTGGTGACATCACATGGAATGCCAGGGCTCTCCAGGAGACAGTGGAATGTACATGAGCTGATGTCACATGACCTAGCTATTTCATCCCTGCTACGTACCTCACCCAAAAGTGACATGAAAACAAGGTACCATTTCCATGAGCTCTGTGGTCACAATGGAAGCCTTTAGGTAGATCCTCCTTCCAAAGTCAGAAATCTAGCCCTCTGCTTCATTAGAAACTTTATCTAAGTGAAGTTGCATTTCATATATTTTCCTTCTTCCCAAAATATTCTTTTTATATTCCCATACCGAAAACCTTTATCTTAGACCCCATATAAACTTTATTTGTATTCAAATCTCATAACTTATTTAAGCTTTAATATTCCATGTTTTTATATGTTAAACTACTTTCACAGACCCACTACAGAAATTATTCAATCTCTCAAGACATACTTAAGCCTTTAAGTTTTTATAAACATATTACATCTTAAAATACCTTTTTTTCTATTTAATTCATTGAGTTATCCTCTGCTTGAAATTTGACCCAGTTTTTTCTTATCTTAACCAATAATAATCTGTAACCAATTCTCTTAAATGATGGCAAGTATTTGTAACCATTGAACAGAAATGACCAAAATCCATATTTTTTGTCTGTGTGTGTGTAAACAAAATCATATTTTTTTATTATTTATACCTTTTTATTTATTTATTTATTTTTATTTTACAATACTATTCAGTTCTACATAATAGCCACAGATTCCCTTGTTCTCTCCCTTCCTGCCCCCCTCCCCTTCACCCCAGCCCAACCCCCATTCCCACCTCCTACAGATCAAGGCCTCCCCCAAGGACTGGGATCGACCCTTAAGAACTGTGGCATGCAAAAATAAAGAGAACAAAACTGAATTAACATGTTTTTCTACTGGTCCTCAACCAATCAAATCTCAGTTATAAAAGCAAAACTGTGGGGAAATTCTTCCTGGGATTTCTAGATGAAGTGTAAGCATTGTGCTACCCTCAATGCCAAACAGGATTTAGGGAAGGTGCCCTCAATTAAACCAGTGATCTAATCACAGAGCTTGAAATCCTTTTCCTGTCTGCAGCAGCAGAATCTGGAAGAAGAGAAGTTATACAGTTGCCCATCAGGGATACCCATTTGCTGTCTCAGCCTGGATGCCTGTGGTAACAGTTGCAATAGGAACAT